GAGCTCGGTCCACAGCAGGGTCTGAGCTGCCCGGTCGGTCACCGACTTCATGTCCATTGAGGGCTCCCGCATGTTCACATATTCTGCAGGGGAGGCGGGCAGAGAGGCCGTGGCAGGGGGCCTCACACAGGCCCTCCCCAAGGACTCCAGCTCAGGGAGACGAGGCCTGGCCTCCTTCTAGGTGCAACAGCTGGGCCCCCCAGGGGTTTGTTCATTCACCAAACCTCCCCCGCCTCAGTGAGCACCCTCGAGGCCAGCCTCAGGCCCTGGGCAGTCCTCGCCAGCTTTTCCCTGTGCCTGTGTGGCCATCCAAGCCAGGAGTTGATGGGGGTTGGAAGGGGCTTGGGTGCTGGGGTCCTGATGAAGAGGCACAGCTCCCAGGGCTCACACCTGGCAGCTCCCTCCTTGTCCTACAGGGGGAAGGTCTGAGATCACATGGTGTAGCCACACGGAAGGCCCTCCACCCACTGCAATGACAGACCCTGACCCCAAGAATCATATTCAATCTTGATCACCATCCTCTCTATACAGAGTGGAAACTAAGGCTCCGAGAGGGCGAGCCCCCAGCAAAGCGAGGACCAGAACCCAGGCCTTCTCTCCTGCCTCTGGCAGGACGATGATCAGAAAGCCTGAGGCTTGAGGCGCCCTGGGACTCACTGTAGGTGGCTGCCACTGTGCTTCTGTGGAGGCTTCGGCCACTGGGATGCCCTGCAAGGATAGGGGTTACGCTGTGCAGATGCGACCTCATGCTAGGAGGCTGGGCCCCTCACACCCAGGAAAGGCTCCCTTGGTCCTACCTGCACGTGCGGCCTGGGCCAGGGCCCGAAGCAGCATGGGCGTGGTCAGGCAGTGCATCTGTGGGCAAGAAGAGAGTGAGGCATAGGTGGGTCTCAGCCAGGCATGGTTCCCCACCCCCACCCCAGGGAACCCTAGCACTGCAGGAGCCTTGACCCTTGACCCCAGTGCCGCTGTGTCAGCTTGTCCCTGCTCACCCCCATTCCTGTCAGAGGCACAGACGGGCTTCCTGTTCCCAGGTGCAGCCCCTCCCGGCCTCCAACCTGACCCAGGTTAACACTGCCAACTGCCACAGGTGTTCATTCAGAGCTCACCGTGCCAGGCACTGTGCTAGGGGTCACGTGCACTGTCACTTTGTCCACATGATGACCTCAGAGGGAGGCACAGATGAGAAGCCACAGCTCAGTCGTGTTAAGTGATTTGCCCGAAGCCACACACTGAGGGGGTGGGACCAGGATGTGAACCCAGGCCAGGCCCCTCCCTTTACACCCCCAGCCCTCCCTTGCTGAACCTTTTAAAGGCTTAAATAACCCTCAAGATCAAATTCCTCTCCTCAGCATCAAGGTCCTTCTGGAACTGTCTCCTAGCCTGCCAAGTGACCTTGGGTTTTCTCACTTGTGAAATGGGAGGTCACGAGAATGGAGGAGGCTCGAAGATGCCAAGGGTTTAGCCCAGAGCCTGGCACTTAGCCGGAGCCCAGAAGTGCCCCTCTCGTGACCTGTGACCTCTAGCGGGACCATTTCTTTTGACCGCTGACTTCAGTGCCAGGCACCCAACCCGGCTCCTTCCCCGACCTTCCTCATGACCTCTGACCCGACGGGCGCAGGAGGTGCATATGCGCCCTGACGGTGCCGGTTTCCCGCCCGCTGCACGCTCAAGGACACAGAGGCCGCGGGTTCTGAGCGGGCCGAGATAAAGCCCGGGCGCGGAGCCGGCGGAGCCAACGGGGGCCGCACACTCGACCCCGATGCCGCGCTGCCCAGGCTGGGCCTTAACACCTGAGTCCCGAACACCCACCTTGAATCGCTGCCTCTCCTTCCAGGGCCGAGGGGCCTGTCCGTCGAGAGGCGGAGCCTACATCCTGGGATGCTGCCATTGGGCGTGGACTCTTCATGGTGTGGTCTGATTGGCTGGTGGCGCAGCCGAAAGAGGCGGGATCGAAAAATCTTTTCTCCGATTGGCTAGGGGAGCAGGCAGGCGCTTGAAGTGGTGTAGAGCGCCGCCGGGTTGGGTGCGAGAAGCTAGTGAGCCGGGACTCCCGAGCTCTTGGAGGCGGGACATCCGAGGCGTGGTTTAAGGTTGCTGCTCCTGTCGGACCCGGCGCCCTGGGCTGGAAGACACCCGGTGGGCCTCGGCGGGGCGTGTGTGATAACGGTGATGAGAATCGTAGCCTGTGGTGATTCCGCGCGGGAGCCATGCCTACTCTATGCTAAACCTTCATCCTGGCGTCTTCATTTAATCCCCCCGGCAGCCCTGTGGGGAGGAACGATTATTTTCGCTTTACAGATGGGGAAACTGAGGCACGGACTTGTGTAGTAACTTGGCCTAAGCCTTAGATCTGCGAAGTGCGGCCGCCTGAACCACTCCTGGATCTCTCTGACCCGGGAGCCCCGTCCCTCAACAGCCCCCAAACCCGTGTTTCCTCCCAGTGAATTGTGTGGCAGAGGGACCCCGGAGGCTGCGGACACTGAGAAAGCCCCTGAGGCCGCCTGTGTGTTGGAGGGAGTGGAAGGTGGTCAGGGAGGGCTTCCTGGAGGAGATGATATCCAAGCAGAGCGCAAGGAGGAGTCGAGAACCAGAAGGGCCAGAGAGCATGCCCAGCTTCTGTGCGGAGATCCACCAGAGAAGGAGGACACATCCAGTGCGTTAGAAGAGGGCAAGGATGGGTTGGCGGTGGGGGGTGGGGGGGAGCGTGTGCAGAGCCTCCCAAGGATTGTTATGGGTCCAGACTTGTGAGCCAGGGGAACCACTGAAGGGGTTCAGGCTGAGGGCTAGTATGGTCCAGTGGGCTTTGGGAAGATCTCTGAGGAGAAGGGCTGGGCCCTGGGGAAAGAGGGTAGGTGATGGATGGCCCGGGGCACAGCGATTAGTGTGTGGACTGGGGAAGTCTTTGGTATTTTATAGAATCATCAAGAATTGCTCAAAGATGGGACTTGGGAGGTGAGAAGGGAGTGTCTAGCAGGAGGCCGGCGAGTCTGGCTTTGTGGCTGAGTGGATGGGGGATCACTCCACGGCATGGGGGCCCAGGAGGATGAGCAGGAGAGGGAAGGGGAGGAGTCCAGTGTGGGACATGGTGAGGGGAAGGTGCCTAGGGCCAGCCACTTGGGGGACAGGAGCTAGTTCAGAGCTCCTAAGAGGCCCGAGGTGAAGGGAAGGGAGATTCTACTGCGGGCATCTCATCAACCTGACCGGGAGGGAGAGGTGCGGAGAGAGTAGAAGGAAGCAGCCTCCCCACTCCCAAATGAGGAGACAGGACGCCTGGAGCCTAGAGTCGGCAATTAAGCTCCAAAATTTAATCCTCACGATGATCTCAGGAGGTGTTAATCACCTCCTCTGTGCAACAGATAGGGAACCAGGCTCAGAGAGGGCAGGGACGACCCAGGTCACAGCAGGCCCGCAGTGTGTCATGGACCGGATGCCAGGACCCCTTCTGCACCCCCCACAGAAAGGGCACCTTCTGTCCTGAGAGGTGCCCACATCTTCCCTCGTCTCCCGGAACACAGGTGGCCAGCGTGGGAGCGGGAGGGCAGGTTACTGCACTGTTTCTGATGCTCCCAAACCTTGGCCCATCCTGGCTGGGGGGCAGCTGAGGGCCTGAAAAGAGAAGCCCCAGGCGGGAGGAGGGCAAGCACTGGTCTGGGCCATGGCCCCGGCAGGTGTTCCCTCTGTGTTGTGGACCCCAGGTCATGTCTCCACCAGCCTCAGGTGGCCATGGCAGCGGAGGACTCGTAGACATGAGCTGGGAGGGACGCTCGGAGCCCCTGTGCGCAGGGTGGCTCAGAGCAGGGTGCAGCTGCAGCTGCGGGTCTCCATGGCCGCGAGCAGCACCCTCAGGTTGCGTGGAGTGTGGGGCGGGTAGCGGAGAGCGTAGACCTCCAGCCCAGAGCGGCGCAGCAGGCAGGCGCGGTGGTGGGAGAAGGTGTCGAAGGAGAACTTGCCGTGGTAGCTGCCCATCCCACTGGCGCCTGTACAGTGACAGGGAACACAGCAGTCAGGCCCCCAGTGGCCAGCAGAGGAGCGTCAGACAGACCTGGGCTCTGCCAGTCACACAGTATGACCTGGGTGGGCTACTTTACCCCCCGAGCCTTGGTTTCCCCAGCTGTAAAGTGGGCTAATCATGAGATGCTGTGGGTAAAGGGCTTAGCCCTGAGCCTGGCCCCAGCACCCACTCAAATAAATATTGGGGACACCAGGTGCTGGGGCACGATGGGTAGACAGACAGTGGTCAAGACTGGATTCTGGGGGGGGTGGGGGATGTATTGGGAGTTTGGGATTAACAGACACACACTACTCAATATAAAATAGATAAACAAGGACCTACTATATAGCACAGGGAACTATATTCAATATCTTGTAATATCCTATAATGGAAAAGAATCTGAAAAGAAGACAGTGTATATATATATAACTGAATCACTGCCGTATACCTGAAACTAACACAACATTGTAAATCAACATTTTCTTTTTTTTTTTTTTTTTTTTTTACTTTCCATCTTTCCTCTCTCTTTTTTTTCTAATTGAAAATGTTGTGGTTGAGAGTCCGCCTGCCGATGCAGGGGACACGGGTTCGTGCCCCGGTCCAGGAAGATCCCACATGCCGTGGAGCGGCTGGGCCCGTGAGCCATGGCCGCTGAGCCTGCGCGTCCGGACCCTGTGCTCCGCAGCGGGAGAGGCCACAGCAGTGAGAGGCCCGCGTACCGCAAAAAAAAAAAAAAAAAAAAAAAAAAAAAAAAAAAAAAAAAAAAAGTGGATTCCAGGGCAGCTGCCCAGGGTTGAATCCCAGCTCTGACGTAGCCATGTCACCTTAAGCAAGTGACTTTGCCTTGGTCTCCTCTGTGACATGGGGTGACAGTGGCACCCACCTCCTAGAGTTGCGGGGATTGAGCAAGTGTTCAGACCCATAGATACAGTAAGTGCTGTGTTGTTATGAGTCACAATGTCCAGGTAGGTAGTCAGTCAAGGACCCGGCAGTGGGAAGTCCAGGGGACCCAGCCTGGTGGAATCAGGGGTAATGCGGGAGGGCTTCCTTGAGTGAGTGGGGCCTGAGGGATGTGGAGTTGACCAGATAAAGTGGATGTGTGGGGCAAGAGGGGCCCAGGCTCGGGGACAACTCAGGGAGCCTTGGAGGTGGGTGACCGTAGTGTGTTGGGACTTGGGCAGAGCTGTGTGTCTGGGGCAGCAACCGGGGAAGCGGGGCAGGGGCGGCAGCAGGACTCCGTGGCCAGACCAGGAAGGGCGGCCTCAGGAAGCTGAGTCAGAGCCCTGGCTCCATCTGAGGGCCTGGGAGCTGTGGAAGGCTTTGCCAGGGGAGCAGCAGGGTCAGATTCACCCGCAGACAGAGCCCCACGCTCCCCTGAGGAGGGGGTGCTGGGGAAGAGGGTTCCAGAACCAGGGACAGCAGCGGTGCGCAGCCCTGGACCTCCACCACCACAGCATCGATCTCAGCCTGCTGTGTGCTCCTGTGACACCAGGCGCTCCCCAGGGAGGGTCCACGCCCACCAGAGCAGCCCACCAGGACCTGCTGGTCATTTACTCTAGTGCCAGGTGTGGGCAGGTGGCGGGACCGCAAGCCTCTGGCCCTCTCGTCCCCTGAGGAGGAGGTGGGCTCAGAGAGGGGAAACGGTGGCCTCGCATCACCCAGCCGTCAGGCTTGCTGGGACCAGCCTCAGAGGCCAGGACTTCACAGTGGTACTGGGGGCTGCTGGGGCTTGGTGGAGGGGGGAGCCAGCAGGAGACCCTGTCTCCTGTGCGACATGCCAAGCATGGGACAGAGGGGACACAGGAGGGGTTAAAGGAGCAGCATGTAGCCTCACTGTGGAGTAAAGAGAACGCCCAAGGCCGCCTTGTGTGTGCTAAGCCCTAGCAATCACAGTGATGTTTAAAAAAAACCTAAACTGTGTATCTGTGGGTCCACCTATATATGTAAATGCAGGGACAGATATGGAAGGTTCCGCCTCAGACTCTGCAGAGGGGAGCAGGGTGAGAGATGACGGTAAGAGATGGCATGGCTCTGCCGGCACGTACCCACTCCTCCGAAGGGCAGGCTGGCGACAGTCATGTGCATGAAGCCGTCGTTCCCACAGAAGCCCCCACTGCTGGTCTGGGCCAGTACCCGCTTGACCACCTGGGAGAGAAGCAGCTATGAGGCTGGTGGCGGAGCTACCGGGGCCGCGGGGCCTCTGTCCGCCCCCCTCAGGGCCCTGGGACCCACTGCAGGGTCTGAGGCCACCGTGAGAGCTGGAGGCGGTGGCTGTGGAGCAGCCTGCCACCCATCCCCAACTGGAGACGTGTTTCTTGAGCATCCCTTGCTTGTGGCCCATGCAGGTGACTGTGGACACAGACTCAGGCCTGATGGGGAGGCGGGAAACCCAGCATCCCCCTGGGGACGTGGAGGGTGCAGGGTGAGGGGCGTTCCCGGGAGGGATGTGAGGTGCCTGCTGAGTCTCAAGGCGGGGCAGAGATGAGTAGGAGGGCCCCCCAGGCAGAGTGAAGGGCAGGTGGGAAGGCCAGGGGTGGGGTGGGGCAGGGACGCAGCGGGGGGCCTGTGTGCAGCACAGGGAGGACATTGAGATTTGGGTTTTGGAAACATGAACTTGATCCTTGCTTGACTTAATGAAGGCCCTTCCTCTGCAGCCTGTAGATGTATTTGAAGAATGAGGGCGGTGGGGTGGGGTGGGGGTGGGGGAACTTCCCTGGTGGCACAGTGGTTGAGAATCCGCCTGCCAATGCAGGGGACACAGGTTCAAGCCCTGATCTGGGAAGATCCCACATGCTGCGGAGCAACTAAGCCCACAACTACTGAGCCTGCGCTCCAGAGCCCGTGAGCCACAACTACTGAGACCACTGCCACAACTACTGAAGCCCGTGCACCTAGAGCCTGTGCTCTGCAACAAGAGAAGCCACGACAATGAGAAACCTGTGCACTGCAACGAAGAGTAGCCCCCATTCGCTGCAACTAGAGAAAAGCCCACGTGCAGGAACGAAGACCCAGTGCAGCCAAAAATAAATAAATAAATTTATAAAAAAGAAGAAAGCGGGGGTCGGGGAATGATTAGTAGACACTAAACAGTAGTTGCATGAAAACTTGGGTATAGTTAGTTGCAACGTGTGACCCTCAGGTAACAGCTAGGTCGGGGCTTGCCTGCTAGTGGGTGGAGTGGACCCCCATCCGCCGACTCAGAAATCCCACTGAGAGAAATCGCAGGGAAGGGCAGGGGACCAGGGCTCATTCTTGGGCCTGCATGTCCTGGTCATTCATCCTACCCCAGTCGTGCCATCCCATGTCATGTGTGCCTTCCATGAGCCAGGCAGAGAAAGGGGACACTGCCGCCACCAGGCCATGATGATGCAGACGAATGGAGGTGGGGCTGACCTAGAGGGGACACTGGACCCTAGAGAAGACCCTGGGGAGCCGCCCACTAAAGGCCCAGAAGAATGTGGCCTAGATTGGAGGGCAGGGGGAGGCCCTGCTGCCCCAAGGAGAAAGGAGAGGGGCAGAGCCAGGACAGCGCCACCGTCCCAGAGTTCCTATGACTGTCCCCGAGGGACCAGGACGCCCGCCCCTCCTGCCAGGCCCCTTGGTCCGCTCTGGTCCTGGTGCCACCTCACCCTCTGCTGACCTCACTCCACCCTCCACTGCTGCCACCTGCTCCCACCTCTGTCCAGCCCCACCTGGCTGCTGCTGGAGAAGGCGTACAGGGCCAGGGGCTTCTCCCGACGGTGGATGAACTCGATGGCCTCGTCCAGGCTCCTCAGGTTCATGATGGGCAGGATGGGCCCGAAGATCTCCTCCTGCATCACCGGCTCCGTCTCCTGCACGCCCACCAGCACCGTGGGCGCTGCCCGGGCACAGGGCACGGCTCAGCCCCCGGGGCGGGGCCTCGGGCAGGCAGGGCCCAGGGACCCAGGGCTCCAGGCTCAGGGACGTTCTGGGGAAGGTGATCTCCCCACAGCCCCCTGGAAGTGACCTTGAGGGGCTCCCCAGCCTGAGCGGGGCCCGTGGGGCCCAGAGAGCCCCTCAGCCTTGGTCTTACAGTCAGAGGGTGACCGGACCTGAGGTCCCAGGTCCCAGCCTGCTGGGGAGCAGCGTCACCCTCTGAGTCGTTCGGCCCAGGAGACTGGGACTGCTTTGTTCACAGCATAGCGGGTGCTCAGGACGGGCTGTTGAAATCCAGAACCGGGAATCGTGGGCTCATAGGACCTGGGGTCATGGCCCCGTGGAGCAGCAGACCTTGGGGCTGAAGTTTGGAACCTGAACGCTAGAACTCTGGGGTCTGAGCTTGGAGAATCCAGAGCCTGGGCCAGAGTGCTGAGTCGTGGGGTCACAGGCTCAGACACGGCAACGCGGGACACTAGTGTCACAGAATCGTGGCACCAGAGCCGTGGACCAGGCTGGGCTCTAGCAGTGGGGTCGGGGAGCCTCAGGGCCCGAGGTTACAGGCTGGGCCCAGACTCGGGGCCCAGCTGTGGCCCCCAGTGTGGAGGGGCTGGGCTTAGCTGGGGTGGGCTGGGAGTCGGGCACAGTGGCAGGGAGGGCGGGACTCACCGATGTAGCGATCGCTTTCATCACTCTGGCCCCCGATGGCCACGCGGCCACAGCTCAGCAGGCCCCGGAGCCGCTGGAAATTCTTCTCACTGATGATGCGGCCCAGGTCTGGGGAGCTCTGGGGGTCTTCGCCATAGAAACGGGTGATGGCACTCTGCAGGGCGGGCAGCAGTCGAGCCTGCATTTCGGGGCTGCACAGGACATAGTCGGGGGCCACGCAGGTCTGGCCGGAGTTGAAATAGCGGAAGGCCACGCGGTTGGCCACAGTCTGGGGGTCGCAGTTGTCGTCCACGTAGCAGGGGTTCTTGCCCCCCAGCTCCAGCGTGACGGGTGTCAGGTGCTTGGCGGCAGCAGCCATGACGATCTTGCCGACTCGGGGGCCACCTGGGGACATGAGAGTTGACCCCAAGCCTCAAATGCCCTTAGCCAGATGGTTCAGGCACCACCTTCCCAGCCCATCCTGGCTCACCCACTGGGTCATGCCCCCTGCCCGGCTGCCCCCGGATCGGGCGCGGGAGAGTCGCCCTCACCTGGCTTTTCCTTGTCAGTTGCTGCTGCACTGGGACCTTTTTCAGGTCGTCCCCCCTCCCCTTCCACCCCCACTCCCCCACCAGCCCCACACAGTGGAAGGTCCCCGAGGAGCTCTGCCCACAGCTGCAAGCCAGGCCCAGCTCCCTCTCCTGACCTGCCCAGGTAGACAGCCAGGAGCCCCCGTCTCCCTGCTTCTGATCCCAGCTGGGCCTGCAGGCGACTCTTTCTAACCTGCCGCCCTAATTCCCTCCCCACTCTCCTCTGAAAGTAACTCCTATGGCCCGGCTCCAGCTCTAGCTGGTCCACATTTGGGTCTCCCCTCCCTGACCTAATCTAGCAGCCGTGGCGCCCTCCACACCCACCGTCTGCCCCCCCTTCCCCTAGGTCCCCACCTCTCCTCTGGGCTGGTGTCCTGGGTCTCACAGTCCCCTCTTCCACTCAGCCACCCCCAAACAAACACTCCTGACAGCGCCCCCAGGCCTCGATACACTCTTGCCCATGCCTGGCCCAGGGCCCCACGCTGCCATTCCTGTCGTGATGACCCTGGCCTTTCCCCGCCAGCCACCGCGGCCCGAGGGAGCCCAGAGCCCAGTCACCTCTCTGGTCTCACTTCCTCCTGCTTCCCTGCCCTCATTCCCTCCCATCCAGGCCCCCTTGTCGGCTGAGCCGGCCCCAGGGGCCTCCCCCTACCACGGCTCCTCCCTTAGGTCCTCCTATCTCTGTTCAAACACCTCCTTGTCTGTCCCGCCGCTGTCCTGACCACGCCCACAACTGAATTCCCCACCTCCACCCTGATCACCTTTGCACGGGCTCCATGACAATGTAGGAGGCTTTGCCTTCCTAGCCCTGCTTTATCCCAAGGCCTCGCGGTGCCCGTCTGTGCTCTCAGTAAACATTCACTGAGTGAGTGAGTGAGTGAGTGGATGCTGCCCAGGCCACGTGCTGTGACAAAGGCGTTCATTCATTCATTTGTCCTTAAGACAGGCCTGTGACTTGGGGATGGCCCCTATCATACCAATAAGGAAACTGAGGTCTGGAGGTCAGGAGATTATGGCGGAGTAGCTTCTGGCGGTCCATCGGCCTCTGCACAGACTGCCTTGGGGACCTGGCGTAGAAGCTGGCCTCCGGGGGTCTGCTTGCCTTGCCTCTGCACCCTCGGTCCCGCGGGGCCAGGGCCCAGAGTCCACTGAGCTTCGGGCTGTGATGGTGGAGGGTGGTCAGGCGCCCCCCTCAACTCCGCCCGGCTTCCTTCTCCTGGTGCCTCCGCCCCCTGGGAATCTGTAGGAACAGCTGAGGACCCTGGCCCCTCTGCTCCCACAGTCGCCCTCCCTGTCTGTTAAGGTGGCAGCTGGCAGGCCTTGTCCTGGGCTCGTGGCAGGGTCTGGGGAGGAGAAAGGCAGAGATGGCACGTCCCCTGCTCTGATGGGGACAAAGTGTGCAACACAGGAGGCGGGTCCGCTCCTCCCTCCTCCAGGGCCTCGCTTTGTCTGTATCCTCCACCCTTTCATCTCTTCTGGAAACTCCATCCTGGTCACTTGAAGCTAGGTGGTGTCTGGACCACATGGGCACATGTCAGGGTGATGGCAGGTGACCTCTGGGAGCAAAATACAGCCTGCCCCAATCCTGGCTAGTGCAGTGGGCACTGCATCTTTTTGTCACCCGAGCCCCCAAACCCTCATCTGTCCAGCCCTCCAGAAGGGCCGTGGGCTCAGGAATGAGTGCCTGGCACAGCGGGAGCTCAGCAAGGGCAGATGCTGTGATGTGTGAGATTGTGAGTGGTGGAGAAGCCTGTTTCCAGGATGGGGCCCATCCCTCCCAAGGGTCCCCAGGGGTCCGGGGCTGCTCCCCAGCCTGCTCAGGGAGAGTGGAGCAAGCTCGTCCTGGGGCCGAGAGAACCACCCAGCACTTGCCCCAGTCTGCATCCTCCCTGGCTGGCTGGCTGCTTCTGTCCCTTGTAGCCTCTCTCAGAGTTGGGGATAAGACCCCTAAGGGTGGGGCTGGACAAGCCTTTCACCTCTCCCATCCTGCACAACCCCCAGACTGGCTCCTCACCTGTGAAAAAGATGTAGTCGAACTTGTGCTCCAGTAGCTGCCCGGTCTCCTGGGGCCCGCCCAGCACCACAGCAAAGCAGCGGGCTCCCTCTGGGACCCCTGCCTGAGAGCCCAGAGGGCAACTGCCTGCCTGCCTGCCTGCCTGGGACGGCTCCCCCCTTGCCTGGTGCCCAGGCTCCAGGTAGGCTGGGTCGGGGGCAGTGGGGAGCGGGGAGCTCCCCAGGGGCACTGGGCACAGGCAGTCCCAGCCCAACAGGTGTAAGGTTGGGGCCTGGCGGGTTTGGGGTTGGGACTGAGGCCGGGGCTGGGCCAGCAGGGCTGACCAGAGACAGACAGGGACCCCTGGGGGACAGGCCCCACCCCTCTGTTTCACTCAGAGGGAAACAGGCTGAGAGGGGCAGTGACCTGGCCAAGGCCACACAACCCAGAGGAGGCAGGAGTGAGGCTGGAATTCAGGTCCTGTCTGAGGAGCCACGCCAAGGGCTGCCTGGCCCAGCGGGGCCTGCTTAGCCCTGCTCAGCCCCAGTGTAGCTGCTTGGTCTGTACCTGGCCCTGCTCACCTGGTCCAGGTATCGGGGCAGCACCTTGGCCAGGACCTTCTCAGTGCTCTTGCTGACCTCAGAGGGCTTCAGCACCACGCAGTTCCCTGAGGGGCGGGGCGGGGCGAGTGGGTGGGGCAGGGCGGGGCGGGGA